CGCATATATATATATATATATATATATATATTAGGTATGACTCCAAGTTGACTAAGGATATCGATAGAATAAATTTACTTACATAATTGATTAAGCAGGGATATCGAGCACCTGCTCCGCCCCACAAATAGGACACCGAGTCGCGGTCTGCGCACACGAGATGCACATGCAGCACATATGCTCGTCACCACACGCAAGCCGCACTTCCTCCATGCAGAGTTCAATGTTGTCCGGGATACCTTCGTGCGCGCCCGTCTTTCCCGCTCCAGGGAGATTGACCTTGCTGGTGGCCCTCATTCCCTGGCGTGGACGGGACTTGCAGCGAACGCACTGCTGGCCGAATTCCACCCCCCGCTGCATCCGCGCCTTCCACACCGAGCGCAGCCGCTGCGTGGTCTCCTCGAACATGCTCAGCAGAGCGTACAAATCAACGTCGTCCATTAACGCGATGTCCGCGGGTTCCGGGCAGTGCTGGCTTAAAAAAAGCATCTTTTTCAGAATGCGGCGCTCCTGAATAAGAGAATCCATCCTGGTATCCTCGCAAGTCAAGGGCACCCGCCTCGTAGGCAAAGGTCTTTCACTATGGTTTGTATTGGGATCCTGCGGATGCTTGCAAGAAGGAGGGCTCGTCGTAGGGGCGGGGGGCGACTGGGACTCGGAGCGCTTCTGCGAGGCTTCGTCCACGCCCTGCATTGTGGGACTCGGTGAACGGGAACTCACCGAAGTGTGGGACGGCAGCGGTTCCTTCGGGTGGGAATTCAGCTCTTCCTGCTTTTTAGATGTATCCACATCGTCGGCCCTAACGTCGCCCGCATCCGGAGCCAGGCACTCATTCCCCGCAGGATTAGTAGGCACATTCGGCGGCTTTAGGGTAAAGTTTCCGCTGAACAGAACAGACTCCACCTTACCCTCTTCAGGTCGTGGCTCTCTTTTTACCTCCTCTATACTGGTTATAGTCCCGAAGCTTTTAATAACGGAAGAGATGTTGAGGGGTGAGGACAACAGCGGCGACATCTTAACCGTCGCTACCGTCGTCTCACGCGGGGTTTGACACCCCTCTGCCAAAGGGTGACCCCCATCCATTTCGGATGTCTTCTCTTCCCCCACCACTGTTGTCTCGCGCGGGCTTTGACTCCCTTCCGCGAGGGGAACCCCTCGAGCTTTCTCCGGCGTCTCCTCCATTAAAAAATCCAGATCTGACGGCAGGGTGATCCCCTCCTCAGGCTCCGAGGCCTTTGTGGAGCACTTCGTTGGGAGCATCCCCGGCAGCGACTCGAAGACATAGGCGCTGAGGGGGACGTGGTGGCCGTGGGCGTCTTTCCAGTGCCGGTCCGCGTCCCGCAGGACCTCCGTGAGGTAAACGGACGTCCCCAGGCTCGAGTGGGGCGAGGACGTGGCATCCGTGGAGGAATTCCCCACCCCGGCCTCAGGGCCCCGCCCGGGGGTCACCCCATTACGCCCGGAAAAGGACGTTGACGTGCTCCGATTGGAGCCCCGTGAGGTCCCAGTTGCCTTGCGAGACCCCTTCGGCAATCGCCCCCACCTCGAGATTGCCGGCTGCCCTCCCGCGTTGTGAAGAAATCCGAATGAGGGGCCCTCGGGGCGGGGGAAGCCCGAGCCAGGCTTTCCCGGCGGTTGAATAGTGGCCTCGCTTCGGACCTGTTTGACATAGCAATGCGCCTTGCCGCTGGGAAAACTTTGGGTGGGCTGGCTCTCACCCCTACTTGAATGAATGCTGTCCTGTTTCAGCCCCTGTATATGGTTAAGAACCGCATTGTAGGCAAGGTTGATATATTTGTGGGTTTTTACGCCAGACGAATCGCTCTCAGTGTGAAGCTCATGGGTCATTATATGATAAGCCTTCTCAAGGTCCTCTATAGTACACCCCAGATGAAGTCCAAGGACTTGGTAGTACGTGGTGAGCGTATAGCTCATGTTTAACAATCAAAGTAGGGCAAAATGAGGAATAAAAATAATTTTTGTTAATAGTTAGATACAAGCCACTAAATTATGGTACAAGTGTGCTTTTTACAAGCACACGTGATTTCGCTTGTGCCTACTTCACTGATAAGTGAAAAACGGCCCGCGAGGGAATCTACCAGATTGTGTAAAAGAGAAGCAATAACTTTTTTTTTATGAAAGTGGGAAATAGAAGGGGGGAGGGGGGAAATGGATTCAGAAAAAAAAATATTGCACTTCAGTATCGAGGTGTGTTGTAAATGTCATCATCATGAGTATCATTTTCGA